AGGATGCGGAGAAAGGGGAACCCTCCTACTTCATTGGTGGAATGCAAGCTGGTGCATGTAAATACTCTGGAAAACAATATGGAGGTTCCTCAGAAAGTGAAAAACAGAGCTACCATTCGACCCAGCTACTGCACTACTGGGTATTTATCCTAAAGACACAAATGTAGTGATCTGAAGGGGCATGTGCACCCGAATGTTTATAGCAGCAATGTCCGCAATAGCCAAACTATGGAAAGAACCCAAATGTCCATCAACAGATGACGGGATGAAGAATGCATGTATGTATGTATGTGTGTGTGTGTGTGTGTGTGTGTGTGTGTATGTGTGTGTGTATATATATATATATATATGAATATAAATGGAATATTGTGGAATACTGTGCAGCCATCAAAAAACCTGAAATCTTGCCATTTGCAATGATGTGGGTGGAACAGGTATTATGCTAAGTGAAATAAGTCAATCAGAAAAAAAGAAAGAAAGAAGTCAATCAGAGAAGACAATTATCATATGATCTCTCTGATATAAGAATTTGAGAGGCAGAGCAGGTCATGGGGGGAAGAGAAGGAAAAAATGAAACAAGATGGGATCGGGAGGGAGACAAACCATAAGAGATTCTTAATCTCAGAAAACAAACTGAGAGTTGCTAAAGGGTAAGGGGGTGGGAGGGATGGGTGGCTGAGTGATGGACATTGGGGAGAGTATGTGCTATGGTGAGTGCTGTGAGTTGTGTAAGACTGATGATTCACAGACCTGTACCCCTGAAACGAATAATACATTATATGTTAATAAATTTTTAAAAAAAACTGTGTCTAGTTATCAATGATTTAGCACTTCATGCTATTTGGGAAAGACCTAGATGTCTAACGAATTTAGTCCCATTTGTCATCCAAGCAGAACTTTAAAGTTTCAGGTTACCAAAGACTATCCTAAGAACCGCCTATGAAAACTTTGAGACAGACAATTACCCAGCATTTTAGTATTTTTGCTAACAAATTGCAAGAGAGATAACACAACCTTATTTGATCTTCAGTAACCCTTGGTAGAGTAAAGGTTTCACATTTAGTGCTGATAACTTAACAGACACGTCTATCTTAATTAAAACAACAATTTAACTTAGTTTAAATACCAAACTATGGGCACCTGGGTGGCTCAGTGTGTTAAAGCCTCTGCCTTCTGCTCAGGTCATGATCCCAGGGTCCTGTGAGTAGGGCTCTCTGCTCAGCGGGGAGCCTGCTTCCCTTCCTCTCTCTCTCTGCCTGCCTCTCTGCCTACTTGTGATCTCTGTCTGTCAAATAAAAATAAAATCTTTAAAAAAAAATACCAAACTATGTTCCACCTGGATCCTCCCCATTGTCAAGTTCTACCTGAGACACGTGGGGAAATCTGGAGTGGGCAGTGTTGTGTCTAGGGGGTGCTCTTCTTCCTCCTTGACAGTGAAGGGAGAAGGAGCCATGGTGCCTGAGACTGGTCTAGAAGCCAGTTAAGCAGGCCACACCCAAGGTGGGGTAGAAACAGGACAAGGGGGAGACAAGACAGAAAAGGCAAAGTGTTACCAGAAGGCAGAGAAAGTGTTCCCAGTTTTAGAGCTCATCAGCTCCAAAAGAGAAGCAGACACTTGGGAATATTCCTTAAAATCCCCATCCTGGGGGAGCCTGGGTGGCTCAGTGGGTTAAAGCCTCTGCCTTCAGCTCAGGTCATGATCTCGGGGTCCTGGGATTGAGCCCTGCGTCGGGCTCTCTGCTCAGTGGGGAGCCTGCTTTCCCCTTTCTTTCTGCCTGCCTCTCTGCCTACTTGTGATCCCTCTCTGTCAAATAAATAAATAAAATCTTAAAAAAAAAAAATCACCGTCCGGAGGGAGACTAACCACAGATGGCTTCAGTAATAGCCATTAACCTGGGAAATGAGTGAGGGAGAAGCCCCCACCATCTATCAGGCAGGCAGTTTCCATTAGCCCCCTTTTCCTTCTGGCTGGGTCTCCTCATGGGCTCTGTGCTTTATGACTGTCGTGCTGCCTTCTTTGACTCTCTATTCAATTCCTAAGGCTAGTTACCAATTAAGTTTTCCAAATCCAATAATGTATTACTTATAACTCATCAAAGAGCAACTTTAAAACAATAGGGGTAAAATAAGTTGAGTTTTAAAAAATACAAAAATGGCATAAGATTATCACCATAATTAAGACAAACTAATCTTAAAAGAAACATGAAAAGTACACTTCAATAGGTATTTTGACTGTCATACTCAAAATACAGGAAGCAGAATGACATTTTAGAATAGCATACATTTTGAAGATTATTGGAGAATAATATCAAACATTTTCTGGGAGTTACTTAAACATTAGATGTTTGTCTAAGCAATTAACAGAGATAATCTAATTTGAATCTTACAACTCTGTTATGTAAACACTACCCATATTTTGTAAAAGAGGAACCAAGGCACAAAAAATTTAGAAAAGTTCAAATCTCATCACTAGGAAGTGGTTGAAACAAAATTTTGAAACTAAGTTGCAGGATTCCAGAACCCACACATTTCCTCTCGGTGTTTGAATCATTGCTTCAGATTATCAGATTTTTTTTTTTTTTTTAACCTATAACTCTTACTAGGTAACCAAAGTTACATTATTTACATTCTACAAGCATACATGGTGTTTTTGAGAAATTAAATGAAAATCTATGTTTAACACACCCAACATAATGCCTGGTTTATCAGAGACACTCAGAATTCTTAGTCTCCTCTCCTTTTTCTTAACTTTAGGATGAGAGCTCCTGTTATTTTACGTTCTGTTTCTGTCTGGATCAAGTGTCCTGTAGGCTGTCAGAGCTGCTAAATTAGGTATCTCCCCACACAGGCCACTTAAGAGGAAGCAGGAGCACCGTCTTCCTGTAGATTAGCTTCAGGCCTGGGAGTCAGAGGAGCACTGCAGACTCCATGCTCCCTCAGGGGCTCACCCTCCTCCCAAGCTCTTCCAGGTTGCTGCCCCTGATGTCCGGGAAGGGGTCTCCTTGATAGACAGGCATTGCTTCCTTACAGCCTCTGGGCTCTTTTTTTGGGTTTTACTTGGGTTGAAAATATCCTACTTTGGTCCCTTCTATTAGCACAGAATCGGACCCAAGAGTGCAGAGTTTGGGCTATCTGAAGCCAAGAATCAATATATAGGAATTGGTCAGGAGCTGGGCAGTGGGTAGGTCTTAGGGTACCCTCGGAGGGCCAGTTGACCCCAAAGGTGGCCTGTTCCAGTTCACATAATGTGCATAATTTTCCAGGAGACATTTTGATGCCATAGTCTCCTGAGAACCCTTCTTAAAATTTTTAAGCATACAGTCTGGGACCATAGGTTTTGAAGAGCTTCCACCCAAGATAAACAGGGGCTCTTTTGCTCACGCTATGTGTTCCCTCCCTGCCCCTCCCTCAAAACAAAGGGTGGGCATCCCTCCAGAGGAGAGACCAGTTAGATGCTGGTCTCTCCGCTCTCCTGCGGGAGACGTGGGTGCCTCCTAGCCGCAGGAAGTCTCCTATAATAAGACCTAGACTGGGGCCTGAAGGGCTCGCCCTAGACTCTACGAGGTCACCAGGGAAACAGATTGGGGCCCACTCAGACTCCTAGTCTCAAGACCCCAGAGCCACAAACACAAACAGGCCATTCATTCAAAGTTAGAAGTTATTAAGGTCACCGCCCCCCGCCCCCCAGGTGTCTTTCCAGTAGTATTCCTTTTGGAAATTCCTTCCTGTCCCGCCCCAGGCCCCTGACCTGTGGAATTCCTTTTGGAAATTCTTAGAAGGTGATGAAGCTTCCCTTCCGCTCAACCGAGCGAGCGGGGACTACACATCATCTTCCCCGCAGGTTTACCGAGTCCTGGCGAGTTGCCAGGCAAGTTGGTCCACTTCTCCTTAGAGTCCAGCGGGGCACGACTGCCCAGAGGGATGGAACTAGGGGTGAAGGAGAACCCCGAATAGTGTCTGTGGCGCACCCCCTCGGTTGGATCCCGACTTCCTTCCTGCCCCGGTGCAGTCTAGCCACCCCGGCCGGTAGCTCAAGGGACCAGAACGGCTGGAAACACACCTCTAAAAATGTTGCGGAAAAATAATCAGACCTTCGAGAGACCAAGTGACACTCGGAGAAGCAGGAGAACTCGGTTTTATTTTATGCTCGGACCCAGAGGAGCTTGTGCGTGCTCCAAGTTCTGGGCCCCGGGCAGTGGGTTACAGGGCTGGAAAAAGAGCAGTCAGGGTCCAAAAGGGTATACTGACTGCTGGTAGGTGGGTTTAAATTGGGAAGGCGGGGTCTGCTTTAGACAGGAGCAGTAGTGCAGGGGGCCTGCGGCGGGAAGCCTGTTTACGGGAGCGGAAGGCGCTGGTTTTCTCTTGCTCCGGGTAGGGTTTCTAGTTTTCTAGCTTCTTGTCAGTAACTTTCCATCATCTGGGACCCCTTGGCCTGATCCTGCTGTGGGTACCATTTTCCTCTTCAAAATAACTGAAGAAGATTAAAAGCTACATAAAATAAATAAGTTATAAAATAAGTCACGGAGATGAAAAGTAGAGCCCAGGGAATATAGTAAATATAATAACCTATGGTGACGGGGGGAGGGGGGCGGTGAGGGGTGAGCACTGAGTAGTGTATGGTACTGATGAATCACTACGTCGTACACCTGCAACTCCTATAACACAGAATGTTAACTATACCGCAATTAAAACAAAAGCAAAAACGTCACAGTCCTTAGATCATGCGACTGTTGATCTCCGGGTTTTGAGTTCGAGCCCTACCTTCGTATACCCAATACTCTCTACAGAGATTACTTAAAAATAAAATCTTAAAAAAAAGAAAATAGCCAAGAGCAAGAATCCTATCGCCAGTGAAGTCCCAAGTCAATCCTAGAACCGAAGCAGCCCGCAGAGGCGGAAAGCCAGGAAGTGGTGTTGGGAGTGCCTCACTGCGCAGCGAGGCTGGAGGGAGGGACGGTGGCGAGGGATGGAAAGTGAGTCAGTAGGGACAGAGGTGGAGGAACCGAGTCGCGGCGATGACAGCCTGGGGGCTCACGCATTCGCTGCTGTCGCTGCTGGTGGTGGTCGCGGGTGCTGCAGGCGCCCGCTGGCGCGGGGAGGGAACCACACGGCACCTCCAGAGCATTATCCTGGGCCGGTGCGCGGAGTATGACGCCCTGGTGAATCCCGACCCGCGGTGAGCAGGACCCTGGAAGCGGGGAAGTGTAGAGGGGAGGAGGCTGTTCGGAGGGGCAGATGGAGTCTAAAGGGTAGGGGTCTCTCCACCCGAGAGGTGTGCGCGGGGTGGGGCGGGGGGAGGTGGGATTCTAAAGGTCCGGGGAGCCAAGAGCAGAGTGTGGTACGTCTACGGATAAGGAGAGAAAGAGAAAGAGAGAGAGAGAATATGTGTGTGTGTGTGTGTGTGTGTGTGTGTGTGTGTGTGTGTGTGTGTGCGCGCGCGCGCACGCGCGCGCGCGCTTAGCCAGAATGGTCGGACCCGGGATGGCGGACCTGGAAATTGGTGAATACAGAGACTTGGGGAATTAGAGTTTCAGATTCTCTGAAACCTACAGGACTTCATGAGTTTGAGTCACTCTTGCCAGCACAGTGCTTCTTATTTCTTTCTTCTAACTTTTTTTTTTTCCTTCAAAGATTCTATGCATTCATTTGACAGAGATCACAAGTAGGCAGAGAGGCAGGCAGAGAGAGAGGAGGAAGCAGGCTCCCCGCTGACCAGAGAGCCCGATGCGGACGCTGGGATCGTGACCTGAGCCTAAGGCAGAGGCTTTAACCCACTGAGCCACCCAGGCACCCCCGTTCTTCTAACTTTTGTTCCTTCTGTGGACCTACTTTTTCGGTTTTCATTTTTTTTTTCCTTGTGCCAGTTTTTTTTTTTTTTCTGTTTCATTTCAGACAAATAAAAAGAGCAGAGAATAATATAAGGAACCATATTACCCAGTCCCCACACAAGAAACAGTTACAAATGCCTTGGGAAATGTTTTTGGAAAGCTAGGATGGACTTGAAGAGGGTGGCTGTCACCAGAGGGCGTCCTGTCTGCCTTAGTGTTACAGAAAGCAAAGGGTGAGGGCGGGAGGTGTGTTCGCCAATAGATCAGCCCAAATCCTTTGGCTTGAGCAGACAGTTTCTGTTACAGCAAGTAAGGAGAGAGGGAGGTAGTTCTCAAAGCACTGTCTCCTCTAACACAAACTTCAGGGCTATTTTAGGCTGCCAGCCAGCAACATCTGGGTGAGTTACTCCCTACAAAGAGGAAGCTGGTCAGAAGAACTTAGTAAAACCTTTGTAATCTTTTGAGAAAGGCACTGAAGGGGTTTGCATACAAAGGTGGGGCTCCGTAATTTCCCAAGAACATCTGCTGCATTCTTAAGTGACTTGGGGGTTTCCCAGAAACGGGGCAGTTTACAGGATTTGCGAACCTGACAAATGAACATGCTGGAGGAACAAAACAGTGTATTCCTTTTAACTTCTCACTGTGGTCCCTGATAACCTTAGCCCTAACTAACTCACTGGTCCACTGGCCTGACCAATGTGCCCCCCCATCCCAGTGGACCTTTGAAGAGGAAAATTACCCAGAGTAGGCCCAGGCCAGGGGGTCCCAGAAGATGGAAAGTTACTGACAAGTTCGAGAAAACCAGAAGCCCTACTGGGAGCAAGAGATAACCAGCTGCTTCTGCTCCTGTAAAGGAGCTTCCTGCCACAGGCTCCCTGTAACTACTATTCCCACCTAAAGCAGCTCCCACTCCCCCAGTTTAAACCCACCTACCAGCAGTCAGCATAGCCCTTGGACCCTGACTGCCTGCAGCCCCTATAAAGGCCCTATAACCCACTGCCTGCGGCCCAGAACTTGGAGCACGAGCTCAGCTGGGTCCGCGGGCATAAAATAAATCCGAGTTCTCCGACTTCTCCCAGGGTCACTTGGTCTCTCGCAGGTCTGATGATTTTTCTGCAACACCTTAAGTCTCAATGGAGAGGCCCCTGAAGTCGGGAGCCTGAATGGTTTGTTGGAATTGTCATCCTCCAGCAAAGTGCCTTTTGTGTTCATCTCCAGGAGACCCTGCCACGAATATGTTCCTTAGCTCTGGAAAATGTGTGCCACAGTGTCTGAGAGCCATTTCCACCACTGGATTCCCAGCTCCATCACCTACGTTTTTCTTCTGACTGGGCATTAATTCACGAGACAGGACAGTGTGTTGTCTTTTTTCTGCCCAGTTCTGCAGAGTTAATAAATGGCAAAACTGCTCGGAAAGCTGTTGGAGTACTTAGAAATGGCAATACTTCATGACACCTCATGATGTGTTTTTTTCTTTTTTCTTTTTTCTTTTTTTAATGTGTTGTGCTGCACAGGGGCAGGAACTGCACAGCTATCTGGGAAGCCTTCAAAGTGGTGCTGGTTAAGGATCCCTGTTCTGTCCTTCCCTCAGACTACGACCGTTTTATTGACCTCTCCAGACATTCCATTCCCAAAGACAAGGTAAAACATTCCTCTCCGTCCCTATAGAGATAGATGGTGCCAGGTGTCTGTGACCCTGCAGGCCCCTCTTTCAAATTTAACTAATTTAAAAAGTCAAGTAGCAAACTCACCTGAATTTTCTGGTGGGAAGGCATCTTTGTCTTCAGTGGCAATCCTGCGTCTCTTTCCTGTCTGGGCGGAAGGAACTTTCCTAAGGCAAGGGTTTCTGCAGGGAATCACTACAGTAGGACCTTGCCACACCTTTCCCCTGGGGCTCTGCCCCTAGCCAATTCTGAATAACTTGTGTCCTAACTGGCCCCAAAGGCCTGAACTTCCAAGTGGCTCAGAGGACCCTTACCCTCAGTACTTTCCCTGAAGACCAATCCCTTCTTATTTTAAGGGACCTTAAGATTCTAGCTATTCAGTAGCAGTTTCTTTAAGAAAACCATGTCTGTATTCTGAGTTCTAATAAAATGAAAATAAATGAGAAAATCTACATAAAATGCTCACTTAGAACAATACCTTGAGTTTAAAAAAAGTCAGATTTGTTTCTCGACGACATAATTTTCATTTTCATTGTAAAATCAGGTAGCATTGATGTTTACCAATGAAAAAAATCTTAACATTTTTTTTAATTTGCAAATGGAGATGGAAGGTTCAGAGACAATAGATTGAAAAAGAATAATTTTTTTTTAAGATTTTATTTATTTATTTGTCAGAGAGAGAGAGGGAGAGCGAGCGAGCACAGGCAGACAGAATGGCAGGCAGAGGCAGAGGGAGAAGCAGGTTCCCTGACGAGCAAGGAGCCCGATGTGGGACTCGATCCCAGGACACTGGGATCATGACCTGAGCTGAAGGCAGCTGCTTAACCAACTGAGCCACCCAGGCGTCCCGAAAAAGAATAATTTTTAAGAATATGTTGCATTTTGAGGGACGCCTGGGTGGCTCAGTGGGTTGAGCCTCTGCCTTTAGCTCAGGTCATGATCTCAGGGTCCTGGGATCGAGCCCCATATCGGGCTCTCTGCTCAGCGGGGAGCCTGCTTCTCCCTCTCTCTCTGCCTGCCTCTCTGCCTACTAGTGATCTCTGTCTGTCAAATAAATAAAATCTTTAACAACAACAAAAAAAGAATATGTTACATTTTGAACCTTGCTGCCTCCCTGCTGGTAAAAAGAGGAACCTTAAGTGTTCTCTTTCATAGATTTTGGTGCTAGTTGATGAACTCAGTAAATAGTTATTGAGCTCCTTCCATGTTTTGGACCTTGTGCTAAGGCTGGAGGACACCTGCAGTGGGGAACAAAACAGCCCCTGCCCTCTGGGAAGTTTCCAGTCTAGGTATAGTCCAGTTGGACTACTGAGGGTCTGATGAGATCATGAGAGGGCTATTGTTATTTCTGTCAGTGTTATCTGAAAACACTGAGCATTATAGTGGAGATCATAAAATACAATATAAAAGTAGCATATTTCTGAGGCACTTTACACTCTTTGTGTGGCATAGCCTCCTGAACACAGCTGTGGAAAAAGAGAAAGGGCTCATGCTCTCCATTTTCCAGAGGTGGAAACTGAGGCAGAGGGCTCTGACATGCCTTGCTCAAGATCAGACAGACAGACAAGATCTTTTTAAATCCAGAGGTTAAAGAGACATATATATACTACAGGGAAAGTACTTTTTTAATGTGTGCAGGATACTTGGAATGATGGAGGAGAGATCATAGCACTCTCTGAATGGGCAAACAAAGACAAAGAAAAAGAAAGTTTGCTTGTTGTCAGGGAAGTCAAGAGTTGAATAAGAAATGAACTGCCTGGGGATCCCTGGGTGGCTCAGTTGGTTAAGCCTCTGCCTTCCACTCAGGTCATGATCCCAGGGTTCTAGGATCCAGTCTGCATCAGGCTCCTTGCTCGGCAGGGAACCTACTTCTCTCTCTGCTTCTGCCTGCCACTCTACCTGCTTGTGCCCTCTCTCTGACGAATAAATAAAATCTTAAAAAAAAAGAAAGAAAGAAAGAAAGAAATGGACTGCCTGGCTGAAAAAAATCTGCTTTGATTTCATTTTCATGTTAATTTTGTGTTTGTTTTTCCTTAGTCCCTGTTCTGGGAAAACAACCACCTCCTGGTCACTAGCTACTCAGAGAATGGCCTTCGCTTTTTGCCTTTGTGCAGTGTTCTGTACGGGAGGATTGGAGATTTTCTGAGCTGGTGTCGACAGGAAAATGCCTCCGGTAAGACTCCTGGACAAATCACAAGGAGAGTAAGAGCTCCTAGTTAAGTTGACACTGTGCATTTGCCATTTGTGCTAAATGCTTTCCTATGCATTTGTCTCATTTGATTCCCCCTAAATCATCTGATATAGGTGGTCATTATAATAATTAATAATAACAATAGTAGAGAGAAAGCACTTATCTTTTGCCGGCTACTCTGTAAGCATATATTGACATTTACTAACTAATCTCTGCAGCAACCCCAGCAGTAGATAGGTCCTCTCCTAATCCCTGTTGTGATAAATAAGGAAACTGAGGCACAGCAAGGTTAAGAAAGTTGCTGAGGAGTGAATCGCTAGAAAGCAGCAGGGTCAGACTGTCTGATTCCAGGGCACATGCTTCCTGCCCTCACCTGCCCAACCTGGCCTCAGGATTCTCATTTTCCAGAAGGGGAAACTGAAGTTTGAGAAGGTTAAGTCACTCGAAGGAGTCGGGCCAGGAGTTAATCCTCTTCTAATGGATTCTGAAGCTTGTGCACTTAAATGCCACTCCAGGTACCAGAGATGTTTTAAGATTAAAATCACAGTGAAAGTCACAAGGGCTGGCCTAGTGGTGAGGAAAAACTCTCCTTATGCATCCAGATCCTTCTGAGACCTGGAGATAGAGCAGTCCCCATCCTCAGTGGGCTTACAACTTTGTGAGGGTCATTTCCTTTGTGCTGTGCTCTGATGCAGGAAAGGCCAGGTCCTAAGCAGTAGCAGAGACACCCACCTAGACCAATCTGGGAAGCTTCCCACCAGCTGTTGGTTCTCAATGAGTCTTGAAGGGTGAGCAGGAAAGGAGGTGGGAGGAGGTATTCCCTTCATGAAGATTGGTGATTCTTCCTGCCTAGGGACTGGAATCACTTTAAAAGTTAGCCTAAACTTTGCACAGTGACAGTATCGTAGCCAATGAGGTTTATCCGAGGCGCGATTATTGCTAATTGAAAAGCTAGCCTAAGTTCATTTCTCTGTATTCTCCTCCATTCATTCATTTATCCAACTGTGAGTCATAGAGTACCTATTCTCTGCCTCTACGCACTGTAAACACAGCAGAGAATAAAACAGGAAAATAATACCCCATCCTTACATTATAGATGGGGAGGTAAGACAAGACACAGGCAAGTCAAATAGTGTGCCATAAGATTACATGGGCTACAGAGAGAAGCAAAACAGGAAAGAGAGTAGAAAGAGAGTAGAAAGTAGAAAGGGGGAGGAAGTGGGAGGACAGTGTTGCAGGTTTACATTCATGTCCAGAGAAAGCCTTGCTGTGAAGCTATTTGAGCAAAGATCTGAAGGAGTTGAGGAAGAGCATTTCCTGAGAGAGGGAACAGCCAGTGCAAAGAAGTAACATCTGGTATATTTAAGGAACAACAAGGACAACAGTAAGTAATAGGCTGTGAGGGTAGAGGAATAAAGGAGGGCCAGATGGCATGGGGCTTTCACTGGGAGGAAGATAGAAAATTGCAGAGTTCAGGTCAATGGATGTGGCCATTCATCCGAAACACAGTGACCAGGAAGTCTGATTATCCTGCAGGAGAGATATGTGGAGTGTGAGAAAAAGAATGTGAAGGAAGGGGGAGTATGGTATAATCACAAATATTCGGTTGTTGTCCCCAGTTCCTGGAACACAGCTCCTAAAACCCTGGGAATGTGAGGAGTAGTAAGAGTGTCTTGTATGTGATAGTGACATGAGTAGTGGTTGGGGGCCCCTAGATAGCTTCACATAGGGGCTAGTCACCAGAAAGACCAAGGAAAACCAGATTAGAGCCTGTGAGGTTTAACCCCATCCCTGTCCTCCAGGAAGGAAAGATTTTATTTATTATTTGAGAGAGTGCACAAGCAGGGGGAGTGGCAGAGGGAGAGGGAGAAGCAGGCTCCCCTCTGAGTAGGGAGCCTGATGTGGGGTTCCATCTCAGGACCCTTAATCCAGGTGCCCTGTCGTTAGAATTTTTTTAATGTAATACATTTTAAAACTTTATACGTTTTAAAGTCGTAACATTTCTGTTTTCTGGCTAAGGACTATCACTTTCTTGGTGTATTTTTGCTGCATTTACTTCCAAGACCAGGGCTAACTATAGAAGGCACTTCACCCAGCAGAGCAAAAGTTTTGTTTTGTTTTGTTTTGTTTTTTAATCACTTCACTGGAACCTCAATAAAGAAATAGCTGAGCTGACCTCATGATGCTTGGTGGTCGGCAGCCTCACTCATTAGCCAACTGCTTGGGTCTTTGCCTTCCTCATGTTTGTGTGAAGCAAAATGACACCTGTCTTCCCAACATAGCTTGGGTTCTTTGTGGGTTGGGTAGGCAGAACTGTGAACATCAAACTTATGAACACAGGCTACATATAGATTTTGTGAAGTCAGCAAATGTTTTAAATTAATTCTTCTCTGATACAATGTTTGAAATGAAACACATCTGTTTATTTTCCCCTTAGGACTCGATTACCAGTCCTGCCCTACATCAGAAGATTGTGAAAACAACGCTGTGGATTCTTTCTGGAAAAGGGCTTCTATGCAGGTGAGCTTGGGAAGGCTGACTGGGAGGCTGAGCACATGTGGGACATGCGAACACGGAACAGAGGGGTTCAGAGACAGAACCATTGGGTCGTGATTTAATGTCTCTGAGGCTGTCTTGCTGTTCACATTCACCACATTCTGATTCACTCCTTCTGCTCCATAAAGGTGTGAGGACTTAAGGAGCCTAAATACTTAGTGCAGCCAACATATTCAGTGAGTGTTCATATAGATGAGGATATTAAATAGTCACTATTATTACTATTGTGATGTGGCCGCTCTTAGTTTTGGAAGCAATAGGATTTTGATTGCTGTGTAAAGCAATCAGGGGTGGCACCTGTTTCATGTGAGACCCTGGGACACCTGAGATCCAGATACGGGGGTCAGAAATGTCCCCAAGGCTGCTATTCATGATAGAGGAGGTGATAGGAGGTGGTGGGTGACAGGTGAGGAGAAGATAACTGGAGACACAGAAATGGCCCCTTACCGAAGGTCTATTCCTCAGAGAATACTGTGACCAGAGATGATGGCAATCTAGTCAATGTTAGTTCTGTTGACTGGGAGGCCAGTGGACTTCAGGGTCCTGCCATCCACCACCACCAACTCCCTCTCAGGGCTGGCCATGTCCATTTTTGTCCCATGCTGGATCTTTGGGTGTCCACAGGGTCCCCTGTTGATCAGAGAGAGAGGACTTTGGTTAAATCCTCCTCCATGCTGCAGTGGAGCAGGGTAGAGGGCTGGCTCCAGGCAAAAGTCACTGTTTATTCCTGAGCTCTCTTGCTCCAGCGGGAGCACCCCATTTATGCACACTACCCATAGGCTCCATTTCTGGTGGAGATTCCACTCCATGAGTGCTGGGCTGCCAGAGCCCCTCATGGAGGTTACAGGGGCATCATCACCTGAATGTAGGATAATAGCAGCAACTTCAGGGGCAGTGTCAACATTCTCGTAAAGGAACTAAGAATCATGCCCACATCATATGAGCCCTTAGACTGTGCTGGATCATCTATGCACAAGGAGAGGTAGTTTAGTGATGAGGAAAGGGTTTGAACTGTAGCAGAGAAGTATTCAGTACATGTTAATAATTATTATTTTGTTTTATTTTTTTATTTTTTTTTAAAGATTTTAAACATTTGTTTATTTTAGAGAAAGAGAGAGCATGCATACAAGTGGGGGGAGGGCCAGAGGGAGAGAATCTCAAACAGACTCTGTACTGAGCACCGGAGCCTGGCACAGAGCTTGATCCCATGACCTTGAGATCATGACCTGAGCTGAAGCCGAGTTGGAGGGTTAACTGATTGAGCTACCCAGGTATCCCAATAATTATTACTTTAAATGATTTAATCTTTACAACAATCCTGTGAGATCAGGGACCCTTATGACCCCTGTTTTACAGATAGGAAAAATGAGGCACAAAGAGATCAAGAAACTTAGGCGGACTTATTTTTTTTTGTTTATGTATTTTCTTTCTGTTCAACTTATTAAGTAGACTTATTCCAGAGCTATTAAGTGGAGGAGCCAGGGAACAAATTTTTCAACCACTATATCATATAGCTTCATTATATCTGCATGCATTTTTTATTTATTACATTTTTTTCTTATCAATGTGATAGCTGCTCAGGATAAAAAAGTGACAAATAATAGAGAATACAGATAAGAAAATTAATCATGTGTATGCCTACTACTGCCTGAAGGCAATCCCTTCAGCATCATGGTCATTAGACCTTGGCATTTGTGGATTTGACCATGACCATTAGCACTGACTGCTTGGAAGCACCCTGAGACATGCATGACACGAAGTGTATTGTTGGTTTGCTGCCGCTGGTATTGGGCATCACTAAGTCCAGCCAGGGCTATCTCAGTGCCACTTGCCTTCCCAGCCCCCCACCTCACTCCAATATAAACCTCTTATCAGGGAAATTGAATGTTCTGGTAGTATTCTGAAGTGGAGATTTCTGAACTTCTCTGGACCCATCTCTTCCTTGGGAAATTTGGGGGGTTGACTAATATTCCCAGACTTTTGCTTATTTATTTTTAGCACAGTAGAGCTCATGCTTCTTCTTCCTAATGTTGCATTTTGCTTTATAAATCCATATTTCCTCTGCGTTTGCAAATCTTTAGCAGTTTTATTAATGGCTGGCTAATATTTCAGACACTAGTTGTTATTCCTTTTTTCTTCACTATTTTAGATGGCTTGCAAACAAGGCTGCAGTACACGCCTTTGTGCACAGTGATTGTGATGGTCCTTAGAACTGTTTGCAAAATATGTCTGCCTCATCTGCAAACGTGGTTTACATTCCCCTGCCTGTTGATGTTACTTGCTTGTGACTTCTTGTGACTTGCCAATGAGATGTGAGAGGGAGTGACTGTGATTTCTGGGTGGAAGTGTCTCAGAACTGGTCAGTGATTTGCCACTGTCAACTTCTACCTTCTCTGACAGTCAATGACTTTGTAGATATGGACTCTTCATCAGCTTGAGGACATAGGGAACAAAACCCCAGTGGACTTGTGATAAAGATGTAGTGTGAGCATGAAATAAATCTTTGTCGTTTTTACTTTGAGATTTTATTTTATTTTATTTTTTTGACAGAGAGAGACAGAGAGAGGGCACACAGGCTGGGGGAGTGGAAGAGGGAGAAGCAGTCTCCCTGCTGACCAGGGAGCCCGAGGCGGGGCTCGATTCCGGGACCCTGGGATCATGACCTGAGCCAAAGGCAGATGCTTAACTGACTGGGCCACTCAGGAGCCCCAGATCTTTGTTGTTTAAAGCCACTGTGATTTCGAGGTTGTTTGGCAGCATACTTTAGTCTATTCCAGCTGATACAGTGCTGGAAACTGATTATTTCACATGGTTTTCCGAGAGTAGACTCTGCCATGGAATTACAGAATCTATGAGTTTTTGACATTTCAAAGCAATTTGCTTTCCAAGAGATGCCAGTTTCATCCCTACCAGCTGTATGAGATACCAAATTTAGTACATCCTTGCTCACATGAGGAATGTCAATTTTAAAAAATTGGTCATTTCATTGCTGAAAAGTAACATGTTAATTTAATCAAAATGCTTGTTTCTTCTTATAGTATGCAAGGGAGAGTTCTGGAGTGATCTCTGTCATGCTGAATGGTTCAGAGCCATCAGGAGCCTATCCTGTTAAAGGGTAAGAACACCAGCATCAACAAATACAGCAAAGAATGCCAGGATGTGTGTTTAGTCTTTTCCAATGGAAGCTTGAGAAAATCATCTTAATCAACAGCATAATGCTTGCTTCTGTAAATTCAGGTAAAGCAAAGACAGTTGAATGAACCGGAGGTCAGAGCCGCATCTATACATCTCTGCCATTAATAGCTGATGAATGCATGAATGAAATAAATAACCTAAAAATAAAGGCCAAAAATACTCCCATAGAACACCCTGGAAGCTTTCCAACAAAAGTAATGTGCAAATAACTAACAATGAAATGGGAAAGATATCCTCTTGCTTTAGGACTTTAAGAAATGTTGGGGTGGGGGTGCCTGGGTGGCTCAGTGGGTTAAGCTTTTGCCTTCCGTTTAGGTCATGATCTCAGAGTCCTGGGATTGAGCCCCTCATCGGGTTCTCTGCTCAGCAGGGGCCTGCATCACCCCTCCCCCTCTGCCTGCCTCTCTGCCTAGTTGTGATCTCTCTATATATATCAAATAAATAAATAAAATCTTAAAAAAAAAAAAAAAGAAAAAAGAAATGTTGGGGTGCCTGGGTGGCTCAATCAGTTAAGCGTCCAACTCTTGATTTCGGCTCAGGTCACCATCTCAGGGTTGGGAGATCAAGTCTAGCATCTGTCTGGCTCCACACTCAGCATAGAATCTGCTTGGGATTCTTTCTCCCCCTCTTTCTTTGCCTCTCCCCCTGCTCATATGCTCATGTTCTCACTCGCTTGCTCTCTTTCTCTCTAAATAAATAAAAATCTTTTTTTTTAAAGATTTTATTTATTTATTTGACAGAGAGAGGTCACAAGCAGGCAGAGAGGCAGGCAGAGAGAGAGGAAGAAGCAGGCTGCCTGCTGAGCAGAGAGCCTGATGTGGGGCTCGATCCCAGGACCCCAAGATCATGACCCGAGCCGAAAGCAGAGGCTTTAACCCACTGAGCCACCCAGGTGCCCCATAAAAATCTTTTTTAAAAATTGTCTTTCTTGGGGTACCTGGGCGGCTCAGTCGGTTAAGCACCTGCCTTCGGCTCAGGTCATGATCTCAGGGTCCTGGGATGGAGCCCCACATTGGGCTCTCTGCTCAGTGGAGAATCTGCTTCTCCCTCTGTGCTCTCCCTCCTGCCCCAAATAAATAAATAAAATCTTACCCAAAAAATTGTCTTTCCTGTTTCTCAGGTTTTTTGCAGATTTTGAAATTCCCTACTTCCAGAAGGATAAAATCACACGAATTGAGATCTGGGTTATGCATGAAATCGGAAAACCTAAAGTGTAAGTCAGCGTGTTACCAACGATGGTAATTGTGCAAACATGCTTCTCTTGAATATGCTATTCTCAAGCCCATTTTACACTTTCATTTTTGGGGACATTACAGTGTTTTCTGTTTCTAATGTCATGGGTAAAGAAAGACAAAGTCTTGACTTTTTGGAAATGCCACTAACCAGTCCCGAGCCCAGAGAGGATCTACCTCCTTTATTCAGTCACTGTTCTCAGCCAGGAAAAGGGTGTTCCTTTCTGAGCTTCCTGAGCAGCACTGGGTAGGAGAGTTCCTTATGCGTTTGTGTGAGTCAAAGCCAGTTTCTTCTCCTGGTTGTTTGAAAGCCCCCACCAGGGTTCTCAGAATTGACCCAAGGACTATGTAATGAAGAGTTTATTCTCCGAGAACAATAATTTCCACAACTGGGTCTCAGATAACTGGGCAAGGAAACTGTTAAGATCCATATTTTCTGGAAAATCACTGGATAGATGCAAGCCTGACCTCATTCTACTCATCAGTGAGGAAAATTGCTGGAAAAAACGGAGGGTAAGAAATGTAAACCCAGATGATTCAGAGACAAGCCAAGGACGCCCAGCCTGGTTTAAGTGCAGCCATGTCAAGCCTCAGAGGCCTGCTGGGGCCTTGCTCTTCAGAGCATCGATGAAAAGTATTGCCAACCCCAGTGAGTATGTACGGGGAGAATCTTAGCAACTTCCCGATTTTAGGCTTCCTGAACCCTCTAAGATTCACTGTATCATGAGAGATTATTTTTTCCTGTCTCTTAAACAAGAGATTAATTTTGCAAATTGCTTACTATGTAGTATTACCACGATCTGCATTTCTCTTCCTGGAAGACAGATATACTTACGTTGCATAAAAAAACAGTATATAGTATTTTTATTTCTATGGGAAGTTCATCTTTGTCTAGAAATTATGCTTGTTTGTTGTTTTAACATTTCTATCAGAGACAGCTTGCCCTTTGAACCTATCTTTAGTAAGATAAGGAAATTGCAATTCAGCGTTATCTTGGACCAACATTTCTGCTACAGGCGAGATGATAAAAGGGCCAGAGCTCGTGGTTGTATGTTTGTGCTGGAGATTTGGAGTTATGGGTCACGAGCTAAGGAAATGAGGGTCCTGAACTGCTCAGATTTTAGGGGAAAAAAAAACAAACAAATAAAACATATAGACAAAGAGCTAAATACAATATGGCTTGATATAGGAAAGGCGATATTAAGGTTCAAAGCCGACGGCCAAGAAAGAATTCTTAAGACATCTTCGGTGCAAAACTGTGATTTTATTAAGGCGTGGGGACAGGACTGGTGGGCAGAAAGAGCAGCATCTGGGTCAAGAGGAGTGGCGGAAGAAGAGTAAATGAAGCAAGATGGGATTGGGAGGGAGATAAACCATAAGTGACTCTTAATCTCACAAAACAGAGGGTTGCTGGGGGGGAGGGGTTTGGGAGGGGGAGTGGTGTTATTATGGACATTGGGGAGGGTATGTGCTATGGTGAGTGCGGTGAAGTGTGTAAACCTGGCGATTCACAGACCTGTACCCCTGGGGAAAAAAATATATGTTTATAAAAAAAAAAAAAAAAGAGGAGTGGCCCATTCTATACCTACAAGTTGGGAGGGTGAGGTCAGGGAGGTTTCAAAAGAATTTTCATATACTAAAGAGAACCTACAAAATACTTGAGGCCTGCCTTTGCAAGTTAAGGTGGTTTTTCCCCTCCAGCAAGACATTAACTTTAAGATAGTTGGGAGTTTCCTGGCAGAAAGTCACACTTGTCCGGGGAGTGGGAGTGACGGTGTAGGGAGAGGTTTGGGCTAGGATTGCCTTTTGTCCTTAGCAAAGTATTAACTTAGAGACATTTGAGCCCCTAGAGGAATATCATTCTGCCTGTTTCAAGAATCTGTCACGGGCTGTAAGGAAATGCAATAAAGTTTCTTCTGCCTTTGTTTCCCACATCATGGCTGATACCCGATTGTGGTTGGCTTTGTTTTAACTGTTGTTATTTTAAAATATATATATATATAGTAAAATAACCCACTGATCTCTATATCAAGGTGTCCTGAAACCACCACATCATTGCTTTGTAAAAAATTCTCAGTAATGAGCTTGTCCAGGAGAAGAACTTTGTACCATTTTTTAGCTAGATTCTAAAACTTGAGGTCACTCAACCCCTTGCCCTCATCATTCCTGTAATGCCTAGAATTCCACTTGTTTTGTGAAAACTTCCTCCAGTCACTCATTTCCACTCTGTATACTCCCATCTCTATTAGTGTTACAGTGGGGAGGCTGTTTCCCTTTTCATTCTGTGTAAACTGAGGCAGGCCTTGCTGGCAATATGAATGCCATGCCTGCTTGTCACAGCTGGCGCTATTGTATCCGTGCTGTTTGCCCCTGCTGAATTATGGCCACAGGAAAGCAGGACTTCCAGTGGATGATGAGTGAGGAAATGAACACTCACACGGTGTTGGGGTGCCCAGCAGAGGGTGCTGTTTGGCACTGCCTATGGCTGGAAAAGAAACAATAAGCCCAATTAATGTAACCTTGTGTTATCAACTATACTTCCTTAACAACAACAACAAAGTAACAGTGGGTCCCAGATGGAGTCATTTCTCCCCACAGTAGCAAACCAAGTTTCAGCCTCTCCCAGAAATGTGACCTTTCAGAGGTCAGTTTGAAATTTCCTGATCAGTAGTAATTGTAAGGGCCTGTTAAGCCAGAGCGGCCCCACCTCTGTTGAACAGCCATTTTGTTGTTTATGCAGTAAAACTTAAACTGACCCTGCCCCTCCCCCCCGGGGGAACTTACTTAAAAGCAAGTCCGGGAAACCAGTCCCAGGTAACAAAGCCCAAATACAAGGGTGGGTCAGGTCAGGCGGAAATAACAGCCCGAATGCAGGGCTGAGTCGTGTCAGGTGGAGACATCCAGTCAGTACAGGGAGCATATTGTCTCGCTAGCTACCAAGGAGTGTGGGCCCCGCCAGTTCTGACCAAGGTGATAGGCTAGTTAAATAGCTACTATGGGGTGAATTGTAGTTCAATTGGCCGCCCGTGTGTGACCTAGCACGACTTGCAGCTTTCTCTGTGTGTGACAATCTCATTGGCCACCTGTGTATGGCCCGGCCCAACGACATGGCCTTTGCTTATCAAAGTTAGTCTGTGAGGCAGGGAGGGGTCGCCCTCTCTGTAAGGGGTGGCCCCGACCGTTCTATTTGACGGTTGGTTTGATTCTTGATGCTTGGCGCGAAATAAAGCTTTGCTTGACCTTCGCTTTGTCTCGCTCCTTTGACCATGGACCCGTTATTGGGGGATTCAACAGTAATGACACTAAATCCTCTCCTCTCCCTTACCAGCAAAGAGAAGATGACCTGGCCTGAAATAATCCTTTCTTTTCTTTTGCTAGTAACTTCCTTGTCTCACGCTCCTGAGGATACAAAGCCTTCCATGTCCAAGGACTTCTCAGAGCGCCTGCCTGTTTACTAGAAGGGATGCTGCTCTATGCCTGAATCACTGAATCGTTGAATAAAGCCAATTAGATTTTCAGATTTACTTGGTTATATTTTTCTGCTTTAAGACCATCAAGAAGCCTTAAATTGCATTCAAAACCTTAGTACCAGAAAACGTACTTCCAGGAATTTATGCTAAGGAAGCAAAGAATTAGGATGTGTTTGAGAATGAAGCTTCAACAAAGTTAGTTTTAGTCATCAAAATATAGGAATTAACCTTGATCGTCAACAAGGAGGACTGGTTTTATGAATCATGTTCTGATTATGTAAGAGAGACCATGCAGGAATTTAAAAATAACAGCAGAGAGGTCTGTGTGTGTGCATACTCATACATCCATACACACACAGACATAGGCCAAAGCAGAATACGAAATGCACTGGACACCAGAAGCCTATTATATATATATATACACACACACACACACACACACACACACATATATATATATATAATTTTATTTATTTATTTGATAGAGATCACAAGTAGGCAGAGAGGCAGGCACAGAGAGAGAGGAGGAAGCAGGCTGCCTGCTGAGCAGAGAGCCGGATGTGGGGCTCGATCCCAGGACTCTGGGATCATGACCTGAGCTGAAGGCAGAGGCTTTAACCCACTGAGCCACCCAGGCACCCTCTATTATATTTTAAAAGTCTCCGGGAATGAGTGTATTTCAGACTTTTAGAAGGATATACACCAAAATGTTATCAGCCTTTAGTCCTAGTGATAAGCAACTGGGATGATTTCTTTTTCTTTGTGTTTGTTTGCATTCTTTTGATAATTTTTGATGTGTACGTTCTTGTTTTCATTAAAGCCTAACCTAACACACACTGTATGGTGAACAAGTGGGCAGCACTGTGCTGGCCTGGGGCGTGTCACTGAGGAGTGTTGACAGCTGGGGTGGTGATGTGCTCTGGGACACAATGCGCATGCGCCAGCGCGGGCCTTCCCAACGCCCTGGACCGCTGGACCCGCACACTTTGGTCCCCAGCGCACCACCTTTTGGGGGTGCCGCAGGTTTCCCAAAAGCGGCAGTTTTGGAGGTGTTCCTCTGTATTCCCTCAGAGAAGAGAATAACCCGGGAAGGACCTGGTCATAGAAAATTTTAATTCACCCAGAAACAGCTTGCTCCCCCTCCCCCGCTTTAATTTTATTTATATGTTTTTATATTTTAGGGAATCCTGTGGAGAAGGCTCTGTGAAAATCCTGGAAGAGAGACTGAAGAAAATGGGTTTTCAGTACAGCTGTATAAATGATCACCTGTAGGTGGTATATCATAATCAGTGTGCAGTCTCAAAGGTGAAGCAGTGAATTTGGAGGGCACAGGGTTGTTGAATGTGTTCTGCTGGGATCAGCTCTGTGCCTTCTGGGCTGTCACTGGGTGTGAGGTTGCTTTGAAGGATGCTCTTTTCTTTCTACTATAGAACCCTTCCTTTTTTAAAGCACCAGATGTTACTTTATTTTTTTAAAGTCTTTATTCAAATTCTAGTTAGTTAACATACAGTGCAAAATTAGTTTGAAGTCAACAATATAGAGATTCCACATTTCAATTACAATACCCAGTGCTCATCACAAGAAAGCACCAGATTTTCATAAATTTGTCTTAAGAGGCAGTTCTTTGCTAACACAGCTCAATGATGGAGAAAATTGTGCCTAAAAATTCCACATTTAGGACCAGTTTGCTTTGGCTCAGGAACTCCCTCGAGGAGGCTATCTTTGTAAGTCATCAGGCCAAGTGTGGTGACCCAAGCCAGAGCCCAAAGTGTCCTTCCCTGCTCATGGCTGTCTCGGAAACTCAGACTGCTTTCACATGCTGTGGGGTTGTCCCCCCCTGTGCTGCCCTTTGGGGCTCTTCCCTTGCAAGTCTGGCTCAGCTGTCCTTATTCCCACTTCTGGTGTTCAGCTGGGATTTTGTCTTGCTCCTTGGGAGCACAGAGGAGATAAATGAAAGACTTACCATGGGAGAGTGACCAAGATTAATGCACCAAACTCCAACCCAGATGTAACTAACAGCCACTTGCCCCACAAAATTCAGGGGACACGGTCCTCTGTCCTGTGGCCATCAGGAGTTGATTCGTGCACATTTTGGCTGGGTCTTCTCTTTTCCGAGCCTCTCTTGACTCCTGGTTGATTTCTGTGAGCACTGCATTGAGCCAGACTCTATAAAACTCAATGACTTTGAGGGGGGGCAGGGGGACAGAAAACAGCAGCAACAAACTATTCTCAGAACAAATACCTGCATAGTATAGACTTTACTGGAGAGTAGGCAAGTCCTGTAAATCGAACGATGCATTTCCTGTTTTTATTCCAGCCACCTGGCCAGGAGAGAACCCCTGTTGGCTTGCCTCCTTAGTGCCCCATGTGCCATGGCTATCTAGCTCCTCTATTTTTTTAAAAAGATTATTTATTTATTTATTTGTCAGAGAGAGAGAGAGAGTGAGCATGCGCACAAGCAGGGGGAGGGAGAAGCTGAGCAAGGAGCCTGATGTGGGACTCTGTCCTAGGACCCTGCGATCATGACCTGAGCCAAAGGCAGATGCATAACTGACTGAGCCACCCAGGCACCCCTAGCCCCTCTCTCACTTCTGCTTCCCTGCCTTCTTGAGACTCTGCATCTTCTCCCTCTAACCGTGCAGCTTCTTTGCTGGACCTGGGCACTAGCCATCACCTGTGTGCCTCAAGTCCAACTTTCTGGCCAAAGACCTCATCAAGAGGATTTTCCAAGCGAGACTGTCCATCCTTACGGAAGTGGTTCCATGCTTGGGCTCTGGCGTGTGCCTGCAAGGTTCAAGTTCATCTCCACCACTGCTACTGTGTGTACTTGGGCAAATTACTCTGATCAGCTTTCTCAGCTGTAAACTGGAGATGGTAATACCTGCTCCATTTGGTTGTTGAGAGGATTCAGTGACATGGTCTGTGTAAAATCCATAATCAGATTTCTTTGTACAAAGTAAGTGCTCAGTAAATACTAGCTAATATTGTTTAAAAGAAACAGTTTGTGTGGGGGCACCTGGGTGGCTCAGTTGGTTAAATGGCTGTCTTCAGCTGGGGTCATACTGGGATCCAGCCCTGCATCCATCTTCTTGCTCGAAGGAGAGCCTGCTTCTCCCTCTGCCTGCTGCTCCCCCTGCTTCTGCCTTCTTTCTCAAATAAATATAATCTTAAAAAAAAAAAGTATGTGTGTTCTTTAAGGTCAGAGACTTTGTATCCCCAGTACTTTGCCTGCACACCATAAATGTTTGATAAGTGAAGGTCACTTAAATAATCCCTTAAATATTCTTTCTTTTCATACCATAGACCAGTGAAGCTCTTAAAGTGTGTGGACCACAGCACCCATCCTGATTGTGTCTTGAATTCGTAAGTAGATGTCTGGCCCAACCTCCTTGCTTCTCCAAGATAACCAGGACTTAACCATTGACACATTGATGAACTACAATATAATTTAACATAATATAATTTAACACCCATCTCTAAAATGACCTGGCTGCCGAGTAAGGTTTGTGTTCCTGCGCTTCTCCATCTCTGAGCTGCTAGGTAGGTGTGGGTTTGGAGAACATATGCCCAGGCGAGGTGACATCCGGCCATGTGGGCAGAGGAGATCCTGCCGTGCTGCAGCGGTTGGCACATGGTGGGTGCTCCCTGATGGCCGCAGGATCCATTCTTCATCTATAAGGGCAAGAGTATTAATCAGGGCTTCATGCCAGACACTCTGCTGTGTGCAATACATAGAATATTTTGTTAATTTTTATAACTAGTCCATTAGACAGAGACAGACACAGAAAGAGAGAGAAGGAAAGAATATGCAGTCACCTACTGGAACCACCAGCCTGGTCGTTGTCCACCTGGATTACTGAGTAGACCGGAATGAATCTCCTTGCTTCCACTTTGTCCCATCCCTCATGACTTCTTTGCAACCCAGCTGCTAGAGTTAGCCTTTTATTTTAACTGTTCATTAGGGAAAGTTCCAAACATACTCTTGGACTGTAGTTCTTCAACCTCTTAGCCATGTGACTTGTCTGCTCACAACTCTGTGGCTCTGCAGTGGCTCCCACATCCCTCAGAGCCAGAGCCAAACAGCCTGCTCTGGCCCGTTTTTCTCTCCATCTTCTGTTCTGCTCCCTTCCCCTTTCTGCGCCTCAGCTGCAGTAGCTTCCTGGAACATGCCAGGTGCATTCCTGCCCCTGGGCCTTTGCCTGCACTGTTCATTCTTCTGGCAGTCCTTCCCCTAGCTGTCCGTGTGGTTAACTCTCTCAGCTACTGTATTAGCTCCCATTTGGCCTCTGTGAAGTTATGTTGACCTCAGTATTTGAAATTACAGCCTACACCATCGACTGCTCTGTGAAACCCCTCGTGCTGTTGTTTTTCTTTTCTTTTTTTTTTTTTTTAAAGATTTTTAAATTAAATTTATTTATTTGACAGAGAGAGAGAGAGATCACAAGGAGGCAGAGTGGGTGGAAGCAGGCTCCCTGCTGAGCAGAGAGCCCGATGCGATGCGGGGCTCCATCCCAGGACCCTGAGATCATGACCTGAGCCAAAGGCAGACGCTTTATGACTGAGCCACCCAGGTGCCTCCAAAATTTCTTTTTGTGAAACCATGGCATGACCATTGTACATGACCATTCCTGAAGTAGGCAGGTGGTTCCACCCTGGCCTCCCATGCCTCAGTTTACCTTCTCTACTGCAGGAGGTGTAAGGTGAATAAGGGTGTCTCTCCTTACCTGTGCTCAGAACTTTCTAGGTGGGGACTTCAGACTTGGGCGCATCATCTTGTTTCTTTCCAACCACATTCCTGAAAGGAGGGCAAGTCAGTCCCCATCAGTGATGCTGAAGGGGTTAAGCGATCTCTTAAAGTTACTTGGGACTGGCTAGAGCCAGAAACAGAACCCACGTTTGTGTGTCAAGTTCTTGTTTCCCCCACAAAAACACACTGCCTCAGAATGTCACTGTGGTTCACACCACAGCAGAGAAGGAAGGGATTGAAAGTACCTGATTTGCTCTTTGGGCATTCTTCCAGCGATTGCTGAAAAGATTTATGTATGACACTTCTTTCCCCATTCCACTGAATGTGAAGAAGAAAACTGTCTTTCACTCTTTGCCAGGTTTTCTTCCACTTTCATTGCCCTGGAAGGAATTTTACCGATGATACCTTCTTTAAACAACTTAGCTAAGAATATTGATGGATGATTTGCAGGTCAGATCCCCAAGTGGCAAATATGGAGAATGATTTCATCTTTCTAGTAACAATGAGATACAAATTTAATAAGGTACAATTTTCGCCTCAACCTCTTGGACTTGGCTTAGCCAAAAACAGTTAAAAAATATTTTAAAAGTCTTATTCAATGCTTGATGACATTGTAAGTTTGTAAATTGTTTTGGGAGAACAATTTGACAATATATATCAGGAATTATAAAGATATTCACAATTTTTGGCCTAAGTCAGACCTTAGGGTACTTCCAGTACCCTCTTCTAAAGAATGTGGGGGCAACCTTTATGCTCAAAGATGTTCACCAAAGCATTCTTTATAATACTGAATCCAAGGTGTAAGCATTGGGAGCTGGACCTAAATATCCAGTGAGAAGTGAATGCTTGTATCAAGAGATTACATTTACTGGATGGAATATAATGTAGATATTATGTGTAGATTGTATCTCCATAAAACTAGGCAGGGGCAACAGTGGTAGGATAATCATACAGCAATTGGAAAAACTCTCATGAACAATTCAAGTGAAAAAACATGTAGAAAACAAACTTGAAGGCTTATAGGCTCTAGTTTGGGCCAAAAATTCAGTACAATTGATAATCTCCTGGATTGGTGAAGATATGAGAAAACAGATGTAATTATGTTATTGAAATAAGGATCACTTTGTCAGTCAGGGTCAAGGAGAAACATCAAATCTCTCATCTTGGCCCAAATTCTCTGTCTAAAGTGAGTTATCTCTCCTCCTCCAATACACCCCAGGACACAGAAGTGGGAATTCCAAGTTCAACTTGGTTAGGAATAATGGAGTAAAGGACTTTTAATCTGCAAAAGTTTAGAATGGAACAAACAGCTGTTTGTATAAATCCAGCTCACGTTATTAATAGTTCTGTGGTAAGTTTAGGAACGACTTGCATTTTTTGGTATTTAATTTATTTGCAATATTTTACAGAATTTAGCATATAAAAATAGCTGTGTGATTCCAAGTGTATATATGTAACCATTAAATAACTGATTTCAGACTTGGGATTTTTAGCTGAAAGTTATAAGAGATTTTACTAAGTTTTTAGCCAAAAATGGAAAGTATAAGAGAATTGAAATTAAACTTAATACTCTTACTAGATTTTCTAGAATCAAGTATTTGAGGAAGTTCTGCTCATTTAAAGTCATTTGAAGGGGCACCCAGCTGGTTCAGTCTGTAGAACATGAGATTGTGGATATCAGGTTCTGGAGTTCAAGCCCCGTGTTGGGCACAGAGATTACTTTTTAAAAAAGTTACCAGAGGTCCCTATTCTTTCTCTTTGAGATAAGCTTTAGTCCCAATATGGGACTTGAACTCACCCAGAATTGCATGCTCTACCAACTGGGCCAACTAGGCAGATTCTTAAATAGAAAAATATGATTCAAAATTAATAGAGAAATCTATGGGGAAATAAGGTTTTTGAATTTATAAGTTTAATAGTTGGAATTAAGTTTTTAAACCAATGAAATTGCAAATAGTGTTTTTTTTTCTTTGCATGAAAGCTGCCCTCAAGCACAACCTCACATAGTCAGGAAAAGTTTAAGTTAAAATGTGACATGTAAAGGCACATGAACCCAGTCATGGAAAGCAAAGGAAAACAAAACTGTATGTTTCTATTTGTGCATGCTAATGAACATCAGTGATGAAATAGATCTAAGGACATGAACTCCAAATTGCTACCAGCGGTTACTTTTAGGAAAGGGAATGAGAACTTCAGTTGGGATGGAGACCCTCAGTATAACTGTGTCTTGTTCTGTAATATTTTATTTTTCTAAAAGAAAAAACACAGGGATGCCTGGGTGGCTCACTTGGTTAAATGTCCAGCTCTTAATTTCGGCTCAGGTCATGATCTGAGTGTTGTAAGGTGGAGCCCTGTGCTGGGCTCTGTGCTCAGTAGTGGGTGTGCTACTCTCCTCCTCTCTGTCCTGTACCTCCCTGCTCTCTCTCTCTAAAATAAATAAATACATCTTTAAAAAAAAAAAATATATATATATATTCAGATTTTATTTATTTATTTGACAGAGATCACAAGTAGGCAGAGAGGCAGGCAGAGACAGAGAGGAGGAAGCAGGCTCCCTGCTGAGCAGAGAGCCAGATGCAGGGCTGGATCCTAGGATCCTGGGATCACACCTGAGCCGAAGGCAGAGGTTTTAACCCACTGAGCCACCCAGGCGCCTCTTAAAAATACTTTTTAAAAGGAATAAGCATAACTACACCTTTGTATTTGTTAATTATCTTAGAGCAAAAGAAAAAAGCAATTTTTAGTAAATCCAAGTCTGCAGTGTTAACTGAATCAGAAGTGCAATTGTAGAAAATGTCCAGCAGGAGGAGCCCTAGTACAAATATGTGGACTGCTTAAGATTATTTTATTTTACTTCTTTCCTTTTATTTAAGATTTTATTTATTTAATTAAAAGAGAGAGAAAGAGAGAGAGAACATGGAGGTGGGGAGGAGCAGGAAGAGAAGCAGACTCCCCGCTGAGCAGGGAGCCCAACATGGGGCTCCATTCCAGGACCCCGAGACCACGGCTTGAGCCAAAGGCAGCTGCTTAATGGGCTGAGGCACCCCTCCTTTATTTTGTTTTTATTAAAAAATTTTTGGGGGGTGTAGTTTGTTGTACAACATGTCGTTCAACAGGCTGTGCTCACCACAAGTGTAGCTACCATCTGTTACAAGATAAGTCTGTTACAGTATCATTATCCATATTCCCTATGCTGTGCCTTTTTTTTTTCTTTCTTTCTTGTGGCTTATTCAGGCTGTAACTGGAAGCCTGTATCTTCCACCCCTTGCATTCATTTTTCACATCCTCCCTCCCATCTGGCAACCATCAGTTTGTCTCTGTATTTACAGGTCTGATTCTTCTTCTTGTTTTTTTATTCATTTGTTTTTTTCTTTTAGATTTCACATATGAGTGAATCATATGGTATTCGTCTTTCTCAGTCTGACTTATTTCACTTAGGATAATACCTTCTAGGTCCATCTGTGTTGTTGCAAATGATTAAAAAAAAAACCACAAAAACCTCATCCCTTTTTATGGCTATGTAATATTCCTGTGTGTGTGTGTGTGTGTGTGTGTGTGTGTGTGTGTATACACACCACATCCTCCGTATCCATTTGTCTATGGATGGACATTGGGTTGCTTCTGTATCTTGGCTGTTGTAAATAATGCTGCAATAAACATTAGCAAAAAAGGGGTGATCAGCACTCAAGTGGAGTCCAAAACCACGGAATAAATTTCCAAGCCAACATTAGATTGTTTCATGATTTTTTAAAAAAATGTATCTTTTAATTTTTTTTAATTCAGTAATTTTTTAAAAATTCAGTAATTTCCATTTTAAAAAATTCAATCAGTGGTCAGACTGTATTTGCTGTGGTTGGAGTCCATTTTTTTGGCCAGGTCTTAATGGCAAGACGGAATTTTCCACACTAGGTAAACTCCAGTGATACAATGTCCATCAGTAAGGAGGTTGGCTACCTTTATGGTATGTCCATACAGTAAGACTTCATCCATGAGAAAGAATGAAGTAACTAATATGTACAATATAGGTATATGTCCAAAATCTGATGTTAGGTGAAAAAAGGTGCAGATTCCATTCGTGTTAGATAAAAGGGTACGTGAAGTTCTGTGTAGGTGTCCGCACAAGTAAGCATAAGTCATATTCCTCAGAGCCAGCTCAAACTGTCAACACTGATTCTCTGTGGAAAGCAAGAATGGGGAATCAGTCTGTGGGGCACCTAGGTGGCTCAGTTGGTTAAGCGTCTGCCTTCGGCTCAGGTCATTATCCTAGGTCCTAGGATGGAGCCCCAGTTGGGTTCCCGGCTCAGCCAGGAGTCTGCTTCTCCCTCTCCTCCTCCCCCAACTCATGCTCACTCGTTCTCTCTCTCTCCCCCCAGCCCGGAAAAAATAAATAAAATCGTAAAAAAAAAAAAAAAAAAAAAAAAAAAAGAATGGGGAGTCTAAGGCACTTTTACTTCTCAATTTATACTTTCTGTCCTATTTCATTTTTTCTGCACTGTGCATGTATGTATATTTTTGAAAGTAGGAGCCACACACCAATACTGAAATTTTCTTTATTTCCCTTTTGATTTGCAGGGCGGCAGCATCTAGAGAAATCCCACCTCTCTGGGCAGAACGTGGTGCCAGTCATATCGTTCCTTTGCTAGTGGCTCTGGCTTCAGCTGTTCACATGTAACCAGAAACTCTGCTGTGTGGCCCTAACTCTCCCCCAGCCCTGAAGCCTGCCCTTTGCACATTCATTCTTCTTGTTCTGTGCATACCAGGTGATTCCATTGTCTGATGAAGCTTCCTGCTGGGAAAACAATGTCCTGAGAGGAGTTTTCAATGATGCACATGCTCAGGATTTCAGAGACGGGAAATTCTTCTAGTCCTATTGAACAGGTTAAAATTGCTGCATTAGAATTAAAGCAAGATATTAGCTTCTTACTTCATAATGGTGCAAAGCATTGAGATCCAGACTGATGCTCTATAAAAAATATTTTTAGGAAATTCTAATAGAACTAAATCTGTATATTTTTCTATATTTTCTTTTATCCTCAGCGGGGCACACTGCATGCTTATTGATAGTTTAAGATATATACTTAAGATAGTATAAGATATATATACAAGTGTATACATATATATTTGGCATGCAAAGATTTATGTGTAAAGATGTTCATTTAGGAGTGCCTTGGTGGGTTGGTCAGTTAAGTGTCTGACTTTGGCTCAAATCATGATCTCAGGGTCCTAGGATTGAGTCCCACCTCAGGCTCCCTGCTCTATGGGGAGTCTGCTTTTCCCTCTTCCTTTCCCTCTGCCCTTCCCCCGACTCTTTCTGTCAAACAAATAGATTTAATTTTTTTAAAAAGTTGTTCACTTAATGGTTAAATATAATGGTGGGGGAGAAACTCACAATGTCCAATAATAGGGAACTGTCTTCATATGGCTTGGTATATCTGTAGGATGGAATATCGTTCAGCTGGGAAAAGTCATGTTTACTAACCCAAATGTCCTTTGCCCAGTGAATGCATGAACTAACTGTGGTACATCTATACAATACTCAGCAAAACTCTCTGTATATTTAGCAAAAAAAAGTAACGAGCTATTGGTATATGCAGCAACATGAGTAACACTGAGATGCACTCTGCTAATAAAAGAAGACAGACCCATAGGCTACATACCAGTATCACTCAACTTACATGACATTCTGGAAAAGGCAAAGCTATAGGAATGGAGAATAGATCAGTGGTTGACAGGGATTAGGACTGGGGGCAGTGGTAGCTACAATGGGGCAATGTGAGGGAGTTTTGGGGAGTGAGAAACTGTGTCTGTATCTTGATTGTGGTGGGGACCTGAATGTATGCATTTGCCAACACTCAGAACTGTACGTCAAAAAGAGTTAGTTTCCCGGCATGTAACTGAAATGTTTTCAAAGAACATTTAGACACATAGGAAAATGTCAACAACAAATAAAATATAAAACCTTCTAAAATATAATATAAATTTAACAAATTCTATTATGTTTGTGTATTTGAATGACATGCATAGTGTAAGTGAATGAAAGGAAATATAAACCTTTAGGTTTATCACATTTCCTTTCATTCTGTGGGTAGTGGTCTTATCAGTGATTCCTGTTTTTGGTGTTTGGCTTTTTGTATTTTCCAGATGTTCTCTAATGAGTATGCATTACATTTATAATCAGAAAAAGAGAAATTTGCACACACACACACACACACATGCACATATCATATATGTGTGGTAATTTGACCCAACACAAAACATTTCCAGAAGACAAAAACAAAACCTAAAGCTTGTCACAGACACTTCTCTGCTCCTTTTCTTCCATAAAGCAAACAAGGGAGGTTCAGACGTGAGAACTCACTGATTCTGATGCCCCAGCAGCCAGAAACAGGCAGCGGAATCCCTTTCCCTTCCCATAGGACCTGTAAAGCTCCGTAGACGAAAAGAAATTGCCCTCAGGTGGCAGAGCTGTTCCTCAAAGGTGCAGCCCTGAGTCCAGAGCTCTTTCTCACTTACTCCAATGGCCTTCATCTCTAGGTGAGGTCCTCCTGACAGTGCCTCTACTCAATTTTTGTGGACACTTGACCAGATATTTGCTGCAAAGTAGGAAAACTGTGCAGCTTGATGATCACTGTGTATAACATATACACACATAACATAATCCCATGAATATCTAAAGAGGATCTAGACACTGCTCTAGGCAGCCTATGCCTTCCATCTCTCTCTCCCTTGCTTCCTCCTCTCTTACTATTATCCCACCCTTGTGACATCTGCAGGCTCACTGGCCCCATCCTGGTGCTCTGGCAGGAAAGACCAGCTAACTCCCTTGCCCACTGTCATCAGCTATCTTCATTATCATCACCAACATCAGGACCGTAGCTAGTATTTATTGAGTTCTTATCATCAAGTGGGCACTGTTATAAATGTTTGATAAAGGATTTAATATCCACAGAGTTATCATCACTATCCTCATTTTGCAAACAAGGAAACTGAGGCTTGACAAGGTTAAATCATTTCCTCAAGATCACAAAGCTAGTAAGTGGAAGGGAGTTTCTATAACCAGAGTTGGGATGCTTTACCCTCTGCTGTACTAATAAGACCCCACAAATGTTAAGAATCCCTGCATGTGTTCCAGAACCATCTAAACGGACTCCTTTATCCCTCCATCCATGTTCTCAATCTTTGTAGATTTCCAGCCCTGCTATCCACATACCATCTTTGCTTTTGCTTCTCCCTTACACTTTTGACACAAGATAGTCTCTTCTTGTCCCCAAACCCAACTTCCCTCCTGTCTGTATTTGCATCTCTCTTCCTTGTCCCAGCATGTTTAAGGACACCTGTCAGGGTAACATACTTTCTACCTCAAGACCTGATACTGTCCCAGCTCTGCTCAAACCACCTGAGCACAGCAGGCAGAAATTAGACTTATACTGACATGGCATCTAGGGGCACATGGGCACATGGGTGGCTCCATCTGCCTTCAGCTCTGGGCATGATCTTTGGGTCCTGGGATGGAGCCTCCTGTACTGGGGCTCCTGCCCAGTAGGGAGTCTGCTTCTCCCTCTCCCTCTGTCTCTCCCCACCGTTTGTGCACTCTTTCTCACATGTGCTCTCTCTCTCTCTCTCAAATAAATAAATAAAATCTACCCCCCCAAAACAAAACAAAAAAACACATTGACGCAGCAAGTAGAGTTCTCCATGCATATAAGCATGAGTATTACCAATTTCCAGCTTTCTCTTTTATTAGCTAAGGTCCTATGGGGTTTTGGAGAAACCTGGTATTGATGGCTGAATTTTGGGATGTTTTCTCTTTTTATATAAATCTTGTAGCCTTTGGCATGCAGTATCAGCCTATGGATGTCTTATTTTAGCTTCAAAGGATATATGTGACCAACGTTTGTATGAGGAAGGATGGAAGGAAGGAAGAGGGGGGAGGGAGGAGGGAAAGAAGAAAGGAAAGAAGGAAGGAAGGGAGAAAGGAATCCTTTGTAAGGTTTCAAAGTCCTGCCCCAGTTCCCCCACATGACCCCACATGGGATATGACAAACCATATCCTATGACAAGCTGTAGGGCATTGTTATGAGGACAGGCAGGATGAACAAGCTTGCCAAAGCAACTCTTCTTCTCAATTTAGCCTTGGAGTTACACAATCTCATCTTCCTTGTGTATGTTCCAGTGTAATGCCTCCCAAATGAACTCTAATAGGTTTCCAGAAGGATCCAGACCTTTCCAGATACTGTGTTATAAAGAATATCATTTGAGTTCCCCCCTTCCTGTTGTGTCTAACAACACTAGATTAGACAACTGTTCATACAAAACAATCCTACTGGCTGCAGAGGAAGGAGGAAGCAGAACCAGCCTCAAAGGTGTGTATCTGCGCAGGTACTCTGGGACTCATGCTCAGAAAGGCCCAGCTTGGTCTAATGCTCTTCTGTCTCTGACTTTAAATTCTAAATTTTTGAACAAGGAGCCCAACATTTGTATTTTTTCACTGGGCCCTGCAAATTACGTAGCTGGTCCTGACTGGAAGTATTTTCAGACAAAGGGCGTTTTATTTTGTCTTAACTGGCTCTTTTTCATAGATAAGAAACAGGACAATGGAGGCCCTTGCTGTGCCCAGTCTTAGAAAAGGATGCCTCCATTGCATGTGCCTGGGAGTTTTCTTACCTAGGCTCCACTTCCCCAAGAAAGAAGGGGCAGCCTGCCTTCCCAGTCGCCCTGGAAGCAGGGGTGCAGACACATGACATAAAGCTCACCTGCCAGGTGCGTGTGTTAGGAGGCTCCCGTTCAGGGGAGAGGTAAATGGAGATGCGGCCGAGGACGCGGACTGTCCAGCCGGAAGGTGCTGGTGGGGTCCTAGCGGTGTCATGGCTGCTGCAGCCCGAGGTGACCGTTTGCCCGCGTGCACGCAGCTGCTAGTCTGGGCTTGTGCTGCTGGTTGTGAGGCCCCTTGCTGGGCACATTCTTTCCAACCTCCGTGTACTCGGCAGTGCTGAGCATCGGCCACTGCACTTTCACGGTTGGTGGTTTGAGCCACCCCCTGTTGTTACGTGAATCCCACCAGGCCTTCCTGCCCCACCAAAAAGGTACTGTCTTAGTCCGTCTGGGAGCCTATCACAAAATCCTACAGACTTGGGGAGCTTACAAACAGCAGAAGTTTCTTTGTCATAGTTCAGGAGGCTGGGAAGTCCTCTCCAAGTCCGAGGCACCAGCACCCTGGTGCTGTGGGGAGGACCCTCTTTGTTCAGGTTCAGAGGCTCGCACCTTCCTGCCGCATCCTCACCTGCTGGGGGCGCTAAGGAGCTCGCTGGAGCCCTTACAGGAGCGGCGGATCGCAGCCGTGAGGGCTCCGCCCTTCTGGTTTAAGCAACCCCCCAAAGGCCCCACCTACCCTTGCCGTTACTTTAGGCAGTAGGATTTCAACACGGGAATTTAGGGCGACACAAACATTCACACCTTAGCAGGAGCTGATGCCCAAACCAGATAAGAAGTCTTCCCAGCTCTCAATTCTCCACCACTTCATCGGAGAGGATGCAACCAAACTCTATCAGCAGAATGGTCTGGCTCTCCCTATGGGCTCGTAATATGCTAACCTTCTGCTCCACCTTCTTTGCCGGCCAGTTATCTGCAGCCCATCCTCTAGATCTCAGCTCAAGGGTCTCTCCTTCTGTGAAGCTCTCCCAGACCAACATTCCCAATCTAGGTCAGGTTCAGAGTTGGGTTTTTTTGTTTTTTTTTTTTTTCTTTTTTCCACTTTGTAATTATATGTTTTTATTTTTTATCTTTTTAAAGATTTTATTTATTTATTTGACACACACAGAGAGAGAGAGAGAGAGAGAGATCACAAGTAGGCAGAGAGGCAGGCAGAGGGAGAAGGAGAAGCAGAAAGTCTGCTTTCTGCTGAGCAGAAAGTCTGCTGAGGGGCTCGATCCCAGGACCCTGAGACCATGACCTGAGCGGAAGGCAGAGGCTTAACCCACTGAGCCACCCAGGCG